GGAGTTTTTAATCTTTTGGATATATGTTTGAATCTGTTTCATGGATTCCATTTCTTTCCTATGCTGGGTGTTTATGGTTTCCATCATGTTCCTGACTTTTTTTTTTTTTTTTTTAATCTGTATCTTTCATTCTGGTCACCATCTCTGTAGTTATCTGGGAAATTATTTCTACTTTGAGTTTTTTCTAGAGCCTTATTTATCTGTTTCATTACTTCTGCTGTTACCACTTCAGAGAGTCCAGGTGGGTGGCTTTCAGATTATTCCAATTCATTGCCCCCAGGGTTTGCCTTTGGTGAGCTGAAAGTCTGTGAGAGTTGCATCTTGTTTAAGTGTCTTCTCATTTTCTATTTTTTTAAAAGTTTCATTCCTGAGTTGATGTTTGTAAACTGCTTGTGGCAAATAGCTTTATTGACAGTATTTAGAAACCTTAGGAAATGACTGTTTCTCAGAAGCATCTTCCAGATCCAGACACACTTTGGAGAGAGGGAAAATTGGGCCAACTGGAGGACTGAAAATGAGTGTCATCAATGGATAAGACTATAAGTTAGCTTATGACCTTAGCTAGCTTTCTTTTTTATTTTTCCCCCAAATACTTCCTTCTATTCTGATGGGTGAGCAGAAGAGGTTGTTCTGACAGCCTGAGAGACTAAACTCAGAGAAGAGCAAACAGCAGATTGGTCGTTCCAGAGCAACTTTCCTTGTGATGTGGGGACAGGGATACAGGAATAGGAAAGCACCTCAGGCTGCTTTTGGTCATTTTTCTATGTGAGGATTTAGACAGAAGGAATTTCATCATCCTGACTGTTGAAACCTGTCTGTTTGGAAAGCTGACTTTCCTCTCTAATTCTGATTTCTTGGACAGTCAGAGAAGCATCTTGTTTCTGCTCAACTCTGGGGAGCTTTAGCATGAGTGACTCCATCATGGTTTTTAGCCTGCCCTGTTGGGATCCAGTACAGGAGCTTGGTCCAAAGCAATGGATTCTCCAGATGTTTATTTAGTGGTGTGAAGGAAAGAGAGTGCTCCAAGGGCAGGGTGCTGCTGGAGATGATGGCGAAGGTAGAGGCGAGGAGCAAGGAGGATGCCTGCAAAACATCCTGGGGTAGAGGGGTGGCTTCAGGCTGAGGACAGAGCAGTGAGCAGTCAGGGATGAAGGGGCCCGGGACCAGAGTGGGGAGGGAAGGAGGCAGGGCTGCAGGGTTCCAGAGAGGGGTCTGTGACTCAGGGCCTTGTAGGAACCCTGGACCTATCTGGAGTCACCGCTAAGGGATGGAGCAAAGTCCTGTGTCTCTGTTTGTAGAATCAGTGGCAAGATGAGGCCATACTTAGCATGTCATGAAGTACCCAGCTCTTAGTATGAGCCTCACCCAGTGTGGGATTCATGGGGCAGGTGACAGTGACATATGAGTATCCTGTGTCATGTTAGGGATTTGAAATTTGTTTTATGAAAATGTGTTTATTTGGGGCCAGGGATTTACCTCAGTGGTTCTGCTGCCTGCCTCACAAGTGCAAGGTCCTGAGTTTGATCCCTGGTACCAAACAAACAAACAAACAAACAAAGAAAATGTGTTTGTTTTGCAGTACTAGAGATTGAACCCAGGGCCTTCACACTGAGTTACATCCCCAGGCTTTTTTCTATTTTTTATTTTGAGACACAGTTTCCCTAAGTCTCCCTAATTGCCCAGGCTGGGCTCAAACTTTCGATCCTTCTGCCTCAGCCTCCCAGAATGCTGGCATTACAGCTGTGCACCACCACCTCTGGCTTATTTTTAAAATTGTTTTGGTTTTGGAGTAGGAAACCAGGACTTCTAGAATGCTAGTGTTATGGTTTATATCTAGATTTCCCCCCACGAAAACCTCCTATGCTCATAGGTGTGGCTTTGGGGAAGTGGCTGGATCATGCATGTTTGATACTGGATTAAGGATGTGATAATTGGATTAGTCCCCTAATTGGATTAGGATAGTTTTGGGTGGGGCTGAATAGATTTGCTGAAGAGAGAAGCCCCACCTGGGTGTGGGTGGAACCAATCAATAGGCTTGTAGCCTAGATAGAATATAAAGGCACAGAAACAAGCCAGGTTAGCTGCCTCCTGCTTTCCATGCCATGGACTGTTTCTCCTCTGTCATGCCTCCCTACCTTGGAGCCAGCTGTCTATGAACTGAAACTTCTATAAACCATGAGCTAAAATAAATCTTTACTCTTTAACTTGTGGGTGCCAGGTGTTTTATCCCAGCAATGAGAAAATAACTAAGACAGCTAGGCAAGCACTCTACCACTGAGCTACCCCTGAGATTTGTCTTAAGGGCGCAACACCCTGTTGCCAGCATGCCAAGTCCCCTGACAAGCCCTACCTGGTCTCTAGTAGATAAATATTCCTCTCTGGAGCCAGGGTAGGGACAGTCACCATGGGCAGGAAACACTCAACTCAGCCATTCTGGACACTCCCTCTAGGAAAGGATACTCAACATGGTAAACATGGGGCAGGGCCAGGGGTCCCCAGTGTTCTCTGGGCACATCAAAGGAGGTATGGTCACCTTGTCCCACCCCCAGGACTGTCTCCTGGAGGATATCCCACAGCTTGCTGCAGATCCTGGATTCAGAGCTGGCGTGGCCCCCTGATCTCCCTGACCTGGTGCCTGTGCTGAGTCCAGGAGCACGATGTACGAAGCAGGCTGCATTTGTCTACTCTAAATCATGCAAGCTGTGCAGAGCAGCTCACAGGCTGGCCCTCACCTGTGGTTACACTATGGTGTAGAAAGCTCGGCCCAAGTCACTCTGGCCTGCATACAAGCACCAAGGTAGAACAACTGGTCACAAGTCAACAGCTGCCACCACCCTGGCCCCAGCAGGACCACGAGCCACAGACTCACAAGTCACTTCTTTGTGCTGACACAAAATAAACTTACGAATTAAGTCAGGAGCACACGAGTACAGGAGCAAATCAGACCACACCAAAGAGACCAGGCTCCTGAGCTTGTCAGTCCTACAACCCAGAACCTCCTTACGTACCTAAAACTTATGAATGGGTCAGTATGCCAGGCTGTGGTACAGCAGCATGCCAACCCACCGTCTGGTCACTTGTCACTAGTCTTGCCCAGGAAGATGACCAGAGCCAAGGATGTCCTCCTGTCCCTGGTTTTAGCTCAAGCCTTTCTCCTGCCCAAGATGCTTAGCCCACTTCCAGTTGATGCTTTCAAAACTGCTGCTCAGGCCTGGCCTCTTTTTCTTTTCCTTTCTTTCTTTCTTTTTTTTTTTTTTGAAAGAGTCTTGCTTCGTTGTTCATGTTGTCCTTGGAGTTGAGATCTCCCTGACTTGGCCTCCTGAGTGCTGGGAATATAGGTGTATGCTACCAGAGCTGGCTACTTTGACTGGGTTGCTGAGTCATTATCTGGCCATCTGTAGTGACTTCATGTTTGTATTGGCTCCTGCCTTTGCTCTCCTTGGACACTGTCAACCTGTAACCTGTATGTCATCGTGTAAAGTGTGATATATAACTTGAGTGTTACAGATATTACTAATAAATTTTGGAATGGAATAAAAGAACTTGTGATCACCATGGCCATGATTACCAAGTGAAACTCAAATTAACCAATGAATTAAAGCTGGTGAAATTAATGTAGCTTGTGAAAATACTGGTATTCAATAAATTCTGACTTTGTGTTTCTTTCCTACAAAGGGCCCAGGCTTCCTTCAAACATTTACTTATTTCTTTGTTATTTATTTTAGTTCTGGGAATCGAACCCAGGGCCTTCATACTGAGCTATATCCCCAATACTCTTTACTTTTTAATTTTGAGATAAAGTTTTGCTAAGTTACCCAGGCTGGGCTCAGACTTGCAATCCTCCTGACTCAGCCTCCTGGAGTGGGATTACAGGCATGTGCCACCATGCCTGGTTTCCATCAAACTCTTAAATGGGTTTGTGACCCCCAAGAGGTTAGAGGCACAGTGCCCCGGCCTCAGTCTCCAGGCTGGTGTGTGGCAGGGCCTTTGCACATGTGAGGACAGATACAAGTCAGCCCAAGTCCCTGTGCCATCACAGTTCCACAGATGCTGCCAATGCCCACCTTCCAGCAGGATTCAGAGGCAGCTGGGGCCCTGCTGTGGGATCTGGGCCACCCACCCCTTCCCCTCTGGGGTACACTCCATCTGCATATTGGTATGAGCATAGAGAGCCCACAGTCCACCACAGGGCCAGATCTTGTCTGGGGGGTGGGGGTCCCAGAGCACAAGCCTGCAGGAAGAACGGGGTCAGGAAGACAGACTTCAACCTCAACCCCAGCCCTCTCGGCTAAGACAGCTTGGCGCCCACTGGGGAGGGGGCACAGGTCAGAGGCCAGAACTCTTCTCCAGACACCTCCAATATGGCTCAGATCTGCCCTATGACTATGGCTACATCATGCCTTCTCTGCCTGTTTCCCTGACTGTAATTTGGTAATACAGAGACCAGGCCTTGGATTTCATAGCACAGCCAGGCCTGGGGGTGCAGCCCTGAGCTGTCTTAGGCACAGCTTCCATTTGCTGTGTCCTCCTTTTTTATTTCCCTCCATGGTGATGAGGATGGAAGCCAGGGCCATGAGCATGCTAGGCAGGGGCTCTACCACTCCGCTACAGTGCTGGCCCTGTCCTCTTGCTGTTGAAAGTCAGTCTAAGGCATATTCATTCTCAAAACAGTTGTGTCTTAAAAATTAAGGAGCCCCTGAGTACCCAAGCCCTGCTGTGGATTGTTACAGCTTACAGGACATGTGTTTTAGCACATT